TATGAGAAGTCATGATCAATGGAGCTCCGAAATTATGATTCACCATGGCAACAGCACTGACAAAAAGATGTCCACATACTTCCGAGTCAAAAAAGAACTTTAATTCTATAGAAACTACGGATCCAAGGCACTTCTTCCAGTTCCAAAATGTTAAAAAAGCCTAGAAACATTAAAAATGCAAAAAAATGACATTTTTAATGTTTCTAGAGTGAGCCATGTTTGAATAAAGGCTTTTTAACATTTTGGAACTGGAAGAAGTGCCTTGGATCCGTAGTTTCTATAGATATAATTTAAATGTTTTTCACAGTTTATTTTCATTGTATCTTGATTTAATTGTTTTAATTCTTCAATTCTTCTTCAATTCTTTTTCAATTTATGAATTATTAATATTTGTTATTTAATGTTTAATTAATTATTTGAAATCATTAATGGCCTTTCTATGATGAGCCATTAATTAAAATAAAGACGTAGGCTCTGAAGGCTGAACATGTTTGAAGGATTGAACCACATGTTTAATAATGGAGGTGAACAGATTTTTAAGTTTAAGAATCTGTAATTGAAACCGCTAATTGATAGACCACTAATCTGAATATTTGTCATCCTTTGGTGATTACAGCACTGAATATTACAAAAGTTATAGGTCAGAGTTCAGATTGCAATGAGAATGCTTGCAGTTGTCACAATGATTTGTTTATCTCAACTTGTGCTGTAATAAACATTTATCTTACTGAAAAGAAACATTGGTACAGTTCAGTCTCTGAATACAAAGCATGTGTGTTTCGGTGTGATGTGGCAGTTGGAAACCCCGTCTCATGTCTGTCTGATGTTTCCTTCAGTTCTTATGTCTGGCAGTGTGTGTGTGTCACTAATGTGCCTGCTTCAGTCAGACCAGAATATGTTACAGGGTTAATACAATTTTTTGTTTTTGTTTTGGTGCAGCTTTCACATGAAAGTTATATAAAGGTATACATATACAACCAAACCTGTTTTAAACCCTGAATCTCATCATTACTGTTAAATATACTTTCAGTCCACTTTTTTTTTTAAACACAGGGTCTTTGTAATGTGTAATGAAAACATTTGGTTTAATCACCTAAACTCAAAGAGTATGATCGTCTTTCAATGTAGTAACAATCAAATCATTCCGTAGCAAACAATGCAAGATACATGTTTCAAATCAGCCTTGCTGCTGAATTAAAGTTGTTACAGTAATACAGGCTACAGTTGCCCCTTTGGAGAATACACTTACATTACCTTACCTTACATTAACCTACGCAACTGACATACAGTCCATAAAGTTTGTAACACTATCTGTCCAGTCAGTGTATTATCAAAAGGTGTGAGGGAGGAATGATATGGCCATGAGGTGTTCTAACGGTTTGCTGCTAATACAGTACATGTACATTATGACTGAGACTGTACTGTAGTTTCACCCATTCAGGGTGACCTAACAAAACAGTAATTTGTCAGTCTCTACCATGGTAAGGCCTCTGTTTACAGTCCCAATGGCTTACTGTAATCTACTGTAAAATGCTGTATTTTGATCTCATCTAAAATTGCCTTCTTTGGATGCATCTCTGATTAATCTGACAGATACATATTTACTGGTTGTTTCACATGTCTTGAACTTTATTTCCAAATCTCTCTCTCTCTCTCTCTCTCTCTCTCTCTGTCTCTCTCTCTCTCTGATTAATTGCTTATACCGTAACAATAATTAATTATACTTAGTAAAATTGCAAATCATGCAAAATAATCTATATC